GGAATTATTAAGAAGGAAAATGAAAGAAGCGCTTTATGGTGTTTTTAAAAACATTTTAATGAATATCTTTGGAAGCAGCAATTATTGACGCTTTTTCGAGACAAGCACCTTAAGTCCTTCAACTAGAATATATTTACGATAACGTGCACTTTTATTATACATTTTTCCAATTATGTTCTTAACATTTATGCTGTGTGTTTTCTTTTGCAGTGAAAAATATCTCAGAAATTTTGCCACCAATATTATTAGGCACTTTTAAGTGTTCTTGCTTGCTGCTATAATGGGTACCCCGGAGACGTCACGTGAACCATGCCCCGACCGTATCCTCGATGACGTTGGTGGGGCATTTGGTATGGGTGCTGTAGGAGGTTCTGCCTTCCACTTCTTGAAAGGAATATACAATTCCCCTAAAGGTGAACGCCTGGTGGGGGCCACACAGGCGGTCCGCATGAATGCTCCACGTGTTGGCGGTAGTTTTGCAGTATGGGGCGGACTGTTTTCCACCTTTGACTGTACAATGGTTTATGTCCGAGCAAAAGAGGATCCGTGGAACTCCATTATTGCTGGTGCGGCGACGGGTGGGTTTCTCTCGATGCGTCAGGGTTTGGGCCCCGCTTCCAGATCAGCTTTGTTCGGCGGTGTGTTGCTTGCATTGATCGAGGGGGCTGGAATCATGTTGAATAAAATGATGAGCGTACCACAGAATCTTCCACCGATGGATGAACAACTTCCTCCTAATATGGCTGGATTTTCGACTGGTCAACTGCCCGGCCAGCTTCCTATGAGCATGGATGGTATTGGTGGTGGTGGGCCCTCCCCGGCTTCTTCTTCGTCATCTTCTTCTTCCTCACCTTTGTCGTGGTTTGGAGGGTTGTTTGGTGGTGGTGAAAATAAGCAGGAGACGAGCTCGGACAGTGGGAGCAAGACAAATGTTTTGGAGAGTTTTGACGCTCCCAACCCTCCGAGTTTTGAGTATAAATAAATGACCTGAAGGATTCAACATTTTGCTGTGGTAAGAAGATTGTCTGCCTTGCTTTTGTTCATTCTGTTGCCATTGAGATGATTGCTGTTCTACAAATTGCACCCGGCTAGATTCAGCCTGGCTCAAGCTTGACTTGTTCTGTTAATAAAGCAAGCCAAGTTCGAGACCAGTTTATATACTCAATTCAAAAATGCGAGGAGCCCGGCTCCACAGCTCAGCTTGGGCTTGTAATTAAGACATAATTGGCAACTCATCTCATGGATAGAAGTTTATGACATAGTTAGCTATGGCTGACTTGCTGGTGAGCGCGGCTTGTAAGGCTTGAGATCAAGCATGTTATCAACTTTGAAACCTCAAAGGCCTGATGTTGAGTAACACTCAAAATGATTTCTTGTGAACCATGAAAAATATGTGGTGGCTTGGGCTTCTATTGGCTTAAGTAGCATCACTATGTTTGTATGTTGAGTCGATAAATTTTCATATGATAATTTTGAAGCGTAAATCTGAGATGCATTATTATGCTAGGACATTAGTGTGACAGAAACCTTTTTAACAAACCAATCAATGACTAAAACAGGCTTCGTATTCTTTGGTTTATGCAGTGGCACAAATGGCAATGGAGACTATGTTGTGTATTATCATGGATCTGGAGGAGAAATTTAGAGGCCAATGGAAATAATGTGATGGATTTGCTGCCAATGACATATATCAAGTCATAAGATCTTATTAGATTTGGAGCTCATGACAGTCTTAATTTTTGCGATCACGCCTTCAAATGCATTTGGCGTCTCACCTAAAGATTACATCTTCCAATTTTGTATCCGCATTGTATGTCATTTTAATGACGGGAGTCTACCAATGCGGCTCTCTGAGATTTTTTAATGTTTTTGATGTACTAAATACTTCGTATTTATTTGGTTTGGTGTACTAGATTTTAATATAATGCATGTATTGATGTCTCAAGGTTTGTCTATCAAATATCAATACTAATGTAGTACGTCCCGACTCCTGAGCGGCTGAGCTTGCACTCCTTGTCAACATGAGCAAAAGTGGGAGTTAAATATTGCGAAAGAAATCTCCCAGATTTTAGTAGTCTACCCGTCCAGGCGTCCAGTATATTCTTATTGCAGAATCTTTTTTTTTTGGATAAAATGTAAATATATATATCCAAAGTGTTTATGTACAACTGTACAGATCAAAAACATATATCCAAGTAAGGATTTCCTCATCACCTCCCCAAAAAATACCACCTCTATCTAGTATCTAGCTAGCTACATAACCATGCTAGCCATCACAAAAATGGTGACGAATCAGCAAAAACATCAGAATGTTACCCTATCAATTGGATACATATAGTAAAGAACTTTATACACCATAAACTTGATATGTTTGACCATATCAATCACCATAGTTGTGGTCTTCTCAAAACAAATCATATTTCTCATGCGCCAGGTCCAATAGATGGTATAACAAAAAGATAGCTTCACGGCTTTGGCCTTCACATTTGCTTCGTTGTGTTCCTTCTTAATCCACTTGACTGCACTTGAAAGTGTGGTCATCTGTCTAGTTAGTCCAAGCTAATCTCTAATCATATTCCAAACCTGTCCTGTAAACGAACACTCAAAATATAGGTGTGACACCGTTTCCGGGCCACCCTTACAAAAAGGACAAATGTTAATCACATCAAGAAAGCCCAAACTATCATACGTAGCTAACCTCCCACGGAAGGCCAACCAAGTAATGAATGAAAATTTGGGCGGGATATAACTCTTCCATATGAAGGACATCCATGGGTGGATAGCGCCCTTTATTCTAAGCAAGTCATACACTTTAGACGAGGAGAGTTTCCCATTGTGGGAGCACTTCCCCAAAAAGGTGAGGGCCTGATCCAAAGAAGAGAACTTAGAAACAATCAAATCCCGAATAGAAGCAAAATTCTTCATAAGCCGTGAGTCCTTATTGTGTGGCACAAACGTCCACACATTCCTACCATTGAGATAAACCCCATGCACCCACTTAACCCAAAGTGATTCTTTATTTTCATGGATACTCCAAAGGGTTCGGGAAAGTAAGGCATTATTCCACACCTTTGTGTCTCTAATACCTAAACCCCCCTCATTTTTTGGTAGGCAAATATCACTCCACGCAACTTTTGCACGTTTGCTACCCCAAAGAAACAGCCTACATAGGGTTGTAATTCTATCAAGTATAGCTCTCGGCATAGGGAAAATACCCAGCCAGAACGATTGAACACCTTGCATAATGGATGTAATCAACTCAACCTTCCCCGCATAGGAAAGAGTTTTCGAGTTCCATGCTTCCAAATAACCTGTGACCGTGTCAATCAAAGGAGAGAACTGTGCAACAGATATATTTAGAGGAGCCAATGGGATACCCAAATATCTAACCGGAAAGGATCCTTGTTGAAAACCCACATTTTGTAAAATATGAGGAATTCTACTCTCGATATTACCCCCTAGAAAAATATTAGTTTTGTCAAGATTAACCATAAGACCAGAAGCTAGCCCAAAGTCATTCAAAGCATCCACTAATATTTTAATAGAAGAGTAATGTCCTTTAGAGAAAAGCATCAAATCATCCGCAAAAGCCAAATGTGTAATTTTTAGCTTAGAGCACAAAGGGTGATACCGGAAGTTAGGATTTGAGGTCCTATTTTCAATCAACCTTGAGAAGTACTCTAAGCAAATCACAAACAACAATGGAGACATAGGGTCCCCCTGTCTTAAACCCCTCTTGCCTTCAAACCATCCATGGAGGGAACCATTAATGGAGATGGAGAAGGAAGGAGTTGAGACACACTCCATAATCCACCTGACAAACAAACAAGGAATACCAATATCCAATAAAACTTTTTCAAGAAATTGCCATGATACAGTATCATACGCCTTCCTAAGATCAATCTTAATCATACATCTAGGTGAAGGCCTCTTCCTAGTGTATCCCCTAACGAACTCTTGTGCAAGGAAGATGTTGTCAGACATCAGTCTCCCATCCACAAAAGCTCCCTGTGAAGGATTGATAACACTAGAGAGTAGAGGACCTAGACGAGATGAAAGGATCTTAGTAATGGTCTTCTAAGTCACATTTGTACAAGATATTGGCCTAAAATCCGAAACAGTGGGGGAGTGAGTTGTCTTAGGAATAAGTGCCACCACAGTGTGATTAACCTGCTTGAGCAAACGGAATGCAGAATCTTTGATTTATATTTAGGATGTTTTTATTTGCACTGTATTTTTCTGGTCTTGTCTATTTAAATTTAATTTTTATTGCGCTAGTGTGATAGATGTCCGGTTTTTGTGTATTTTATAACTATATAAGTTTAGCCTCATCTGTTTAAGTTTGGTATGATTTGACTTGTTTAAATCAATTTTGGTATGAAGTTGAACATCCTTGGTGTTTTGGTATGTATCACAGATTTTCAATGTGAAGCATACCAATATCAGTTCTATAATCAAGCTCTCAAATGTAGCCTATGGCAATGGCTAATGTAGGCATGGCAATGGCAGTGGCGGGTGGATGGGTAGTACATGATCCAAACTTCACCCCGTCACTTTAATAAGTGGATCTGCCCACCTGGTGAATAAAACAAGATTCTAAGCCTTATTCTCAAATAGTGGTGAGCTCGGTTCGGGCTGGGCCCGGTTCGGGCATTGAACCGGTCGGGCCTCGGTTCACGGTATGGGAGGCCCGGAACCGGCCCGGATAACCCCGGTTCCGGTTCGGTTCGGGTCACCCGCCCGGTTCACGGGCCGGGCCTTTTATTTATTTTTTAAATTATATATTATATTATTAGAATAATTCTTATTACAAAAATAATTTGAAGTTGTAAGTTATAAGTTTGTAACCAATTAATTAATTTAAGTTATAAGTTTGAGCATTATTGAATTGATGTACACAATAATATAAAATAATTCAAGTATATTTATTTCAAATAAGAAGTACAATTGAGAATTAGGATGAGTTTAAAAAATGTAATACATTTTGTAATAAAATATCAATCGGAATCTCCGCCTTCGGTTGTTTCCTCCATAAAGTGGTGGGTGGGAGCGATGGTCATTTCTTGAGTTCTTCGTTGGGCCTTCAACCAATCGTGGAAGCAAACTAGCGTCTCAAGAGAGCTCGGGCTCAACCTCGTTCTATAATCGGTTAGGACGTTGCCGGCCGCACTAAATTCTTGTTCCACGGCAACAGTCGATATCGACATTGCTAGCACTTGCCTAGCCATCTTTGATAAAATCGGGAACGTTCTTTCATTTTCCTTCCACCACTTAAGAACGTCAAAGTCATCCCCAACTTCATAATCAACATTCAATGTTAGATACAAAGAAAGCTCGTTACCTGAGCTTTGTTCAGTAGCGGGAGTTGCTCTACTTTTTTCCAAAAGAGAACCAAAAGCGGATTTTAAAAGTGATTTTCCTTTAGATGAAGAAGATGTTCATGGCATGGGAGGGGGTGCATTACCATATTGTGCATGAAATTCATTATACAATTGATGAAATAAATTACTAACCTCGTTGAATTCTTGTTTAGGGTCGATGGGATTATCATCGAACTCTTGAGTTGGAAAAAAAGAAGCATAATAGTAATCTATACAATTTGCCAAGTAAGCAAGTTTATAACGAGGATCAAGAACAAATGCAATACCATATATATGCGGAATATGTGAATAATATTTTAAAAACTTTTGTTTCATGAAATCACAAAAATAACTAACGTAAGCGGCATCAGAAAATTCACAAAAAGCGCCGGCGAGATTAACAGCTTCAACAAAAAATTCGTTTGCGGTAGGTTTATAAACATGACTAAAAGTTTGAGTTGCGTTATTAAAATATGCCAAAACATTAACAATTTTTTCACAAGTGTCGATGTCAGCCGGGTTTATAATATAGTTACAAGTTTGTCTTAAAAAAGCAGGAAAATGCTCTTTATATCTAATAAGTACTTGAATTAAATTATAAGTACTATTCCAACGATAGACAAATCTTTAGGAAAAACACAATAATTGACACGTCTATCCTTCAAATATTGCCGCCATTGCATTTTTAGTGGAGTGCTAGCCCAAATCAATTTAATTCCCCCCTTCAGTACCTCCAAAGCATTTCCTAATGCCGCTAAACCATCTTGTACACACAAATTTAGAATATGACATGCACAACGTTGATGAAAAAACCTACCCATCAATGTAGAAGCACCACACAATTCACGCAATCTAGGTATAACAGCAGTATTATTACTAGCATTATCAAAACCTACAACAAACACCTTATCAATCATATTATACTCAATTAAAATACGCTCAATGAGAATATAAATATTATCAGCAGTGTGACGATCATTGAATTCACGAAAAGCAAGAACACGTTTATGCATATTGCAATCATCATCAATATAATGTGCAATAAGACCCAAATAATATAAATGATTATAATATGAATGTGTATAAGTATATATTTATAAGTAGATAATTAATATAAAAGTAGATATAATAATTATATAAATTATATATATGTAGAAAGAATTTGGAGAAGAAGAAGAATGAAGATGATTGAATATGAGAGATTGAGAGAATAGAGAATTTAGAGAGTAGGAAGAGTTGTAGAAGAAGAGGTGTAAAAAATGTATAGAAAATAGGAGTATAAATAGGTTTTTTTTGTATACCCCACCCCCACCCCACCCCCTAACCCCCAGACCCCCCTCCTATGCTCCCAACGGCTATAGAGCCGTTTGGGGAGCTCTCCCACCGGCGGTGACCACCCGGTCATTGACAGTTATACCACATCCATACCACATCCCAATGACAGTTGCGCAGCTCGTCAGGGAGTACCTAACGCTAGTGACCAATGCCGTCGGTTAGTGCCACCGCCCCTACAGTGATCATCGCCACTTGACAGTAACCGTGGAACAATTGCGGCGGTCGATCGTTGTCATGAAGGTGCGGCTGTGCTCTGTTGGCATGGAGGTGCAATTGTGCTATGGGACGCTATTTCGGTGTTGTGGCTGCGAGAAAGAGAAGGCCAGAAGTAGGAGAGATGTTTTGGTCTGTTCAGAAACAAATAGATCGACTTTTTGTCCAAGATTAAAACAAATCATATACTTATTCATTTAAAAGTCATTAGTATTGTTTTTGTCATTATTTCATCATATATTAGAATTTTATGATTGTTTTAATCACATATAGATTAATTTCCCTATTAGAATGGAAAGTATTTAATGAGTACTCTTATCCCAAGTCTAGTCTTGTTGTCGCCAGGCTTGTTTGAGAGGTACTTGTATGCTTTTATAAAACATATACATCACTAATTGTTTGTCATAAACGAATAGTATGCTCTAAGCTATACTAATATAATACTTCATCCCTTCCTTTTTAGTTGCAACATTCCCGTTTTCACGTTTGTCAATGCATAGCTTTGATCGTCATTATACTTAATTCTCTATTAGTAAAAAACTTTTAAAAATCAGATTGTGAAACTTTTGAATGAGACTAATTCAACAATATTTTTCAAAAACAATAATTCACATACATTAATAAATAAAATGTAGTCAAAGTAGAGTACATGAATAGTGTGCAAATTTCAATGTTGCAACTATTATAATACAGAGGATAGTATGTAAAAGGAGTTCAACATACACCAGAGGCGATAGATGGTGCTAACTGCTAATGATAGAATTCAAAGTTCTGAACTTTTGATGCACCGGCGGAGCAAGAAGGGGCAACTTAGACCCTGACCCACCTCAAATTTAAAAAATGTCAATAATTTTAATGTAAAAATTATGTATGAAAAGTTTTCAAACATTATTCTTTGTACTAGCTTATTGCTCTAACTCCGCCCCTGTTGTGATGAAACATCACCCATGGTTATCGTGATGCGATCACTGTTGCATTGAACTGAAAAGTTTTGGCCGAAAGGATTGAAACACCGAAGACTTGGATGCTGAACATTTGGGATGCTTAATTTGAGGACTCAATTATCAATATCTAAGAGCCTTTGCAGTAATATTTGAAGTCAAGTCAACACTCTTGGATGAAATAAAAAGGCCTCAAGATACCAACAATTAACTTTGGAAGGTGTGATATCTAAAAAGAGGGACTACTAGAGACATGGTCCAAATATTTGTGAATGATGATCCTTAAAATCTATCCTCGAAGGCCGGGGGCTCATTTTCAGATTATGCATTGCCCGTGGGATCGGAGGAATAACAAAATGTATGGATTAGATGGAGAATTATTGGTTATTAAGCATGGAGTAGGAGATCGGCAGATAGCGACTTCAAATGTCACCGAGTACGTGAAAGCTAGAAACTAAAGGCCATTCAGGTTACTATACTAGATAAGAGCATGGTTGGTGTACACATATTTTGTACACTTTTTGTGTACACCCCTACTTGTCTATCTACAAGACAACTTTTGAAGGAATTGCCTACAACTAAATGGGGTGTACACAATATGTGTACCAACAATATTTGTGATCCACTAATATTACCCGAGTTGAAGTGGGTGCATATAACTATGAACGTTGGTAAGAATGCTTTAACTCGAATTTATTTCAGTCCCAAATCAGACTAGATCATATTCAATAGAGCAAAGCAGATAAGATTTTGACAGTTATAAAATAAACAAATATCAGACATCTTAGATATATCAGTTGAGACCAGACCACACTTAAACATATTAAACCGGATCTCAAACAAGAAAAATTCATAAGATTGACACAACATGCGATATGGTTATGATAAGGCATGGATTGTTTGTTATAGTTTTTACGGAGTAATCACTTATGAATTGTCACCTATCAATAACAGATGCTCATTGAAAAGGATATCAAGGTTATATACGGATGAAATTATTCAATTAGACATACCAGTATTGATTCATTCAAGCAAGGTCGTTGATGGAGTATATGGCCCGGGAACCCCCGCGGCCCACAGACTCCTACTACTCCAGCAAAGGCCCAACAAGCCCAAAAGGCCCAAAAGGCCCAGATCACAGCGCCCAGAGTACCAAGCAGTCCGCACAACGCACAGGGATGCCTTCGGCCCCCTGGCCGAAGGCTCCAAATTCTCACAGAGCGGGTTTCTCAAGCAAACTAAGAAACTGGGAGAAAACGGCGAAAACAGTAGCCCTCGGCACTATCAGCCCTCGGCACCAGGGTGCCATCGGGTGGAAGAGCCCTCGGCTACTGCTCTATAGCCGAAGGCATCTCACTCGACAAGATATCCGCCTCACATGCGTACAGATCAACGTACCCCGCACAGACGTCCCATCCAACAGCCGCATTAAATACGGCCACATGCGGCTGCCAGCGCCAACCAGTTGAGGTGACCCCTCAGCCAATGAGCACTTGACACGTGTCCCTGCCCGACATTTATTGCTACTATAAATAGCACCCCATTTCCCCATTTGTAACCACGCTTAATACATACCGAATATACACTCTCTCTCTTACTTGTTTGCTCTGACTTCTCTCTAAGTTATTCCCCGTAATAACCCTTCGGATATATACCCCCGGGTAGACTATCCATCATTCTGATGGTCTCCTAATAGCCCCAGCCTTACCAAGAAACCAAGTTTCTTGATGCCTTCCCTTCACCACCAAAAAAAAAAAAAAGGGGTGAAGGGGAGTAGACTCAGCGAGAAATCAAAGAGTACACTCCAACAGATCACAACAAACCGAGGGCTCCCCGCGGGAACACCTCCGGTAACTGAAGGCTCCTATTTCTCGAAGGATACTACTCAAACAAATATCATCAGGAAACGGCAAAGACCACTACCTGGTCTCCTCCGGTCACAAAAACACCGAAGGCTTCCACAAGATAAAGGGACTGGACTACCCAAGGTCCACTAAACGGTACTTCAAACAGACACCGAAGGCATCTGTTATGCACAAATACTGAGGGCCCTTTCCCCATGACAAGAGTCAAATTCTACAACTTTTAAAGTGTATGCCGAGGGCACACACTCCTCACTGGCTTTCTTCACAACAACAGGACTCAACATCAATTTATGCTTAGAACAAATTCTAAGTCCTGAAGGAGCAGCCCCCGGGCATCCCGCAAAGTAATGTAGAGTCAAAAGGCACCTATCACCCGAAGGCCATACATCAAGGAGGAATGCCATCTCCCGAAGGCTCCCAAGGGAAAATCCACACTTAGAATGTTTTCTAAGTGCTACATGCTTTTCCCCGGACAACTACTTATACATCAAGGAGGGATGCCATCTCCCGAAGGCTCCCAAAGGAGATTTTGCACTTAGAAGATACTCTAAGTCCCACATATTTTCCCCCCTTGACAGCTACTCATACATCATGAAGGGATGCCATCTCCCGAAGGCTCCCAAGGGAAACTCTACACTTAGAAGATTTTCTAAGTCCTGCGTATTTTCCCCCCCGGTCAACTACTCATATTTCACCCTCATCTCAAGGGACCTAATTGCCGAGGGCTGCCTATCATTCAAGGGCTACAGTACACAAGGAATCAGCACTCAAGAAAATTTTCTAAGTCCTAAAGAATTAGCCCCCGGCCTAATCAATATTGCGGTTGGGGCTCCACAGTAGCCGAAGGCTACGTGACACACTACACTTGTAAAAAAAAAAATTCTAAGTCCTATACATTGGGCCCTCGGTCCAATATTTACACATCAGGAGGGGACGCCATATCCCGAAGGCTCACAAGGGAAATCTACGCTTAGAAATTTTTCTAAGTCCTAGGATTTGGGTTACTGCAAACACCCGAAGGCCCTATGGTGTGCTACACTTAGAAAAATTTTCTGAGTCCTAATTGCTGCCGAACCCTCGGTTGCATATCCAGCAGAGGGTGCCCAAATACCGAAGGCTCCCAAGGGCTAGCTACAATTAGATAATATTCTAAGTCCTAAAACATACATTCAAAGGAGCAAAGACATACATCCAAGACAAAAACGAAGGCATGCATTCAAGGAGAAAGGAATTGGAAAAAACAAGCCACATGTACAAGGCCCGAAGGCAATCATTCATTCAACAAAAGAAAGGGATTCAAGTGTGTTTGTTACAGAGTATGGCCAAAGCCGAGGGGTGACAAATGTTCATTACAAAGCTTTTTCAAAAAAGTGACTAAGTACTGCTCTTCTCGGCGGCTTCAACCTCATTGTCTCCGGGGGCATCTTCCACGACAACCTTGGAGGAGACTTCTTCTCCGGCAGCATCACCCCCGACGGCTCCACCCCCGTCATCCCCCATCATTACAGAATCATAGATTGTCGGCCGCTCTTCACCCGGGGGGAGGGGAACTCTGACATCTGGTTGCAACGGAGGGAGGCCATATGCCGAGGGGTCGAATTGCTCGAGGGACACGCCAAAGTGCCTGGCAAGCCTCCGGTAGATCAGGTGCTGGGTAAAGAACTCACCCCCCTGGTAGTAGGCGTCCCCCCTGTCAGTCAGCCAGTCAACCCCGGGGCCTTCTACCCAAGCGTCCACCGAGGCTGCCACCACGGAGGCAACCCACTCCTTGTGGCCCTCGGCCCTCCAGCCCTCAGCGAGGAACTCCGCAACTGCCTCCCCTCGGGCCTCGGCCGCAGCTCTCTCCTTAGCAGTTTGGGCTTCATCGGCGGCTTTCTTCGCCGCCTCGGCAGCAGCCCTCTCGGCCTCTGCCTTGCCTTCGGCTATGCCATCAGCCTTGGCCTTCTCCGCCGCCGCCTTCGCCTCCCGAAGGGCCTCCTCCAGCTGGGCAGCATGCTTCACCGCCTCGGAGTTCTTGCGGATCAGCCCCTCCACCTTCTTATCCTGGGCAGCCTCGTGGAGACGCCTTTCCTCGCGCCTCCGGGCCTGTTCCCCGAGGGCTATGCAGGCCTGCAAACAATGATCAAAGGAGTTAGATTGTTCCTCAGGAAAAAATAAGACAAAACTGACAAGATAAGGAAAAAGGAAGCGGATACTTACGGTGAGCGAGGACCGGAGGATCCTGTTCTCGAGGGCATCGTCATCGTAGGTCTCGAAGACTTCCCTGTCCATCTTCGAGGTGATGCCCCGCAGGAAGGCCTTCGACTCGGCAGTGCC